TGCCGTCAGATTATTACGGAACCCAAGACAGCTTTTGGCTTTGTACACTGATTGCAAGTGCACGCCTCACAAAGGCCGCCGCTGCCGCAATCAGGTTCCATCTTGACCGCACTGAGGCCCAAGTTTGTTCAATGGAATTCATGGCTGGGTTCTCATTTTACAGAGAGTCATGGCATCCGCCAGCTCTCCATCCCCCCCCCCCCCCACTCATCTTTCTGGATTGCTATAAGCCTGCCTACACTCGGTAACACACTTGCATTGCGCTTTATTAGGGTGCATTTACTAGGCAGCCCGTCTGTCCTGAAGAATGCATTGTATCGTCAAGCCTTGTGCATTTTTGCAACTCTCCTTGGTGTTCGGCTTCCCTGGGCTGTGTGTGAGGAGAGAGATCTTATAGCTTTAAGCCTGGATGGAGAATAAAGGTGGGGGGAGCCGGATTGGGGGGGGGGGGGGGTCAGAGAGGGGCTACTCTGGAATGCACACATTGTTATTGGCGGACATACAAAAGTTCCACATTTGTTAACACTTTTCACTCTCAGCACCACCAGCTGGGGCTTTGCATAAGCAAGCAGGCTGGTACAGCTCTGGAAAGCGTATCGATCAGCGGACAACAGATTTTGTCCAAGTGAATTTTTCTTTTCGATACTAAATAATTCATATACAAAGTAGGATTTCTTTTTATTTTAAAGATTTGATGTGATCAGTGTTGATCTTGGTTTTTTTTTTTTTTGTTTTTTTGTTTTAAATAGTATTTTCTCATACATAAGTAAACAATCTCCCTTCCATTAAATAATAATACCCCCCACCCTCTTTTTTTTTTTTTTTTTTTTTTGATACCTTTCATTTCATTTTTTTGAAAAATATTGTACTGTTGCTCCTGCCTGTCAGTTGCTGTTCCTAGTTGGTGGTGGCAACAATTTGCAGCATCATTTATTCCAGGGATGTCCAACCTGTGGCCCAGGACTGCTATGAATGCTTCTCAACACAAAAAATCATACACTTCTTTAAAAATTTTGAATTTTTTTTGTAAAAAACGCATTTACACTTAGCAAACACATTTGGCCAGAAAAAAAATTAGCAGTGCCTCATTACTGGACATTTATAAGTTTTATCTTCCCGAAGAAATATTAGTTTCAAATCCAACACCAAAGGGAGGTATTGCGTAACAAAGAAATGAATAACTTGTCATACTACATGTTACCTACCTATTGGAGTGCCCATGTGGGCCCTAATATCTGAGATGTACCACTAGTCAAATTTTATATTGGGGTGGCGGGGGCAAACATATCTATTAAAAATGTACATAGAAATCACAGCTTATTCAAACACTTTTAGCTATTCCTCAATAGGGACTGTAGGCAATTGACATTTTGTGGGATAGACACAATTCAGGAACATTGGAAAGGATCCAATTTGACCATGTGGATGTATAACCTATGTCAGGCTTGTCCCACCGACAGCCAAAGGTTTGCATGCGGCCCAAGAAGGCTATGAATGCTGGCCATCACACAATCATAAACTTGCTTAAAAATGTTTGATTTTTTTTTTTTAACATCTTTCTGTAAAAAAATGCGTTTACACTTAGCGATCACATGCGGCCAAAGAAAAATTTGACAGTGTCTCTTTATTCATGCTTGTCCCTTCAGATATTTTTGCATGAACTGTTGTGATCGGCTCTCAAAAGTTGTGTACTAACGGTCAGATTATCGAGCGATTGCTCCGAAAACTGTTTTTTGTACAATTTTCTCATCGTATTTACTAGGCATTAGGTGTTTTGAGTGCAGTTTGATGGTGGCTACATATTCCAAAATTGTCTAGTGTTCATCTTCACCCTCATAACCCCTTTCATAGATTAGATAAGTTGTCATTCTAAAATACAGTCCCCCACCTCTGATAACATCAAGTGCAGACATCTAGTCTGTCTCTTCCTACCGTGCTAGACTCCATTTACTTCAGACAGTTCAGTTCTCAAAGTCCTGGATAAGCTTGTTTGCATTTAAAAGCAGCATTTCATTAACCTGTCACCTCGCTGACCTTATTCAAAAAAGGGCTGAGTTATCTGATGCTTGATACACATTGTCTCACTAGTGGCAAGAGCCAGGTAAGAGATGGGAACTTTGCAGTCAGTAATTGGAAAGGGAGAAGGAGTTTCAAAAATCCCAGCAGTGGTATTAGCAGAGGCTTCAGGTCCAGATCTAGACTATCTTATCTGGGAGTGCAGTAAAAAAAGTCAAGGGGCATACTGTCAATACATGGAAGAGTTCCCCTTCACATTTGAGTCCCACATCACAACAAAGCCATCTGCCCCCCTTCACAAATAGTCCTACCTTATTATTTATTTATTTCAGGTACTTCTATAGCGCCGTCAATTTACACAGCACTTTACATATATATTGTACATTCACATCAGTCCCTAACCCTCAAGGGGTGTACAATCTAAGGTCCCTAACTCACATCCATACATACACATACTAGGGACAATTTAGACAGGAGCCAATTAACCTACCAGCATGTCTTTGGAGTGTGGGAGGAACCCGGAGTACCCGGAGGAAACCCACGCAGGCACAGGGAGAACATGCAAACTCCAGGCAGGTTGTGCCGTGGCTGGGATTCGAACCAATGACCCTAGTACTCCAAAGACATGCTGGTAGGTTAATTGTCTCCTGTCTAAATTGTCCCTAGTATGTGTATGTATGAATGTGAGTTAGGGACCTTAGATTGTACACCCCTTGAGGGTTAGGGACTGATGTGAATGTACAATATATATATATATTCTTTTGTAATAGTTTTTATATAACTCAGCAACATCCACACATGTAGGACACCCAACATTGGAGGGGATTTATTCTTCCAAAGCAAATACACTTTTGCACACTGGTACTGACTAGTATTCCAGTGTTTCTCCTCCCTCAGTTTTATACATCACTGAACTAATGTGACCCCAGCACTGTTGGAGAGGGGCAGGGGAGGGTCAAACAAGGATGCTGTGCGGGCAGCTGACATCCTCCTTATTAACTGATGATGTCATTGGTTGTCAGGACACTGGCGGCTAGAAGGTCGTAATGGTGCACATTGAGAACCTGTGGCTTTGGGTAACTAAAAGGCCGGCTTGTTCCACCCGCTGGCTTGTATACAAGTTTTGGACAATTTTTAGACTTTTTGCCAAGGTACCCCTGAAGAAACCTCAAGGCACCCCAGGGTGCCTGGGCACCCTGGTTGAGAAGGGTTGATGTATGGCATAGTGATGATGCTACTGCTACTTTTATATGGCCATATCTGAGTTTTCAGAGGTGTTTAATGCAGACAGAAAATTTCTATCCTTTGTGACTATTTTAAATAATGTGTTTACATACAAATGCTTTGTGCCCAGAGCTGACCTTTAAAGTAAATCTAAACCCTTACTGAATAACATTTAATTTTAAAGAGCCTTACGTGTTCTAAGTAACTTTTTTTTTTTTACTTTTAGGCAGCTTTTTTGCAGCAACCTCCTACTCACATCCACACAAGTGATGGCTGCATGGCATTTATCAGGGTGCTTCTCCAATGCTGACAACAGCGGACCTTGCATTTCATTGTCAGCAAGGCCACTTCTTGTCTCCATTTAAAAGCTGTGACAGGGTGACAATACGAAAGAACAGTCTGGAGATACAGGCTGAGTGTTGTCGCTCTTTAAAAAGAAGTGCTTGAACAAGAACTTTTATGGCAGGATCACCAGGTGTTATCGCTTCAGATTTAATGAAAGTATTGAAAATGACATTGGCATGTTACAGCCTCATACACATGATGAGAATAACAGATGGAAAAAAGACGCTTTCAGATCGATTGTCCGATAATCAGATGCTTCCGAGAGACGATCATGCCAGTTCATGTGAAAATATCTGAAGGGACAAGCATGAACATTCTTCTCATAAGTTAACACAACGAACGATTTTCGTGTAATTATTATAGTAGACAAAGACCTTGCATGCTGGGAAATGTAAGAATACCATACATCACTTCCAAAGTTGTACTCTGTCTAAAGAAAATTTTCTTAACTTTAGTAACCTCTTCATTTTCAACAAGAGACTCGCATGCAAAAAGAATGCACGGCCATTGTCCAATATTCTGATCGTGTGTACGAGGCATTAAAGTGTTCCTAAACCCGCAACAGTACAATCAGTCTGTAGATGCAGTAAAGCATGCTTGTTATACTCACTGTGGAACCTAAGGGGTTAATCCTCTGCATTGTGTAAAAAGGCTGTTTGATCCTGTCTTCTCTGATCCTCCCCTTCTACTGTCCCCAATCCCTCTGCTTATAGCACAGTCACTATGCACATGCTCAGTTTAGTGTGTTTTGCTAGAGAGTTTTTTTTTTTTTCCTTTTGGGAGGGTGCATGTGATCAACACTGTCCAGACCAGAGGGTCAGGGGTTATGCAGCCTCATAGGACAGTCAGAGGAGAGTGAAAACTCCTCCTACAAGATTATCCATTGCTTGGCCGGACACTAGACTGCTATATACTGCTGATGAGAAAAGGTATTTAGCAGTTTATATTTACTAAAATAATTGCGCTTTCCATTTTCTGTGTACTGTGGGAGACCACTGTGGGAGACTAGTGAATGCAGGGTCTGGGATGTAGACCGGGGATGTATAGTGAATGCAGGGTCTGGGTAGTGAGACCGGATGTAGTGAATGCAGGGTCCGGGGAGACCGGATGTAATAAATGCAGGGTCCAGGGTCCGGGGAGACCGGATGTAGTGAATGCAGGGTCCGGGGAGACCGGGGAGATATAGTGAAATAAATGCAGGGTGCAGGGTCCGGGGAGAACGGATATAGTGAATGTAATAAATGCAGGGTCCGGGGAGACCGGATATAGTGAATGCAGGGTTCGGGGAGACTGGATGTAGTGAATGCAGGGTCCGCCGGGGAGAGTGGAGTAGTGAATGCAGGGTCCGCCGGGGAGACGGATGTAGTGATGCAGGGTCCGGGGAGAGCGGATGTAGTGCAGGGTCCGCGGGAGAGCGGATGTAGTGAATGCAGGGTCCGGGGAGAGCGGATGTAGTGAATGCAGGGTCCGGGGAGAGACCGGATGTAGTGAATGCAGGGTCCGGGGAGACAGGATGTAATGAATGCAGGGTCCGGGGAGACATGTAGATATAGTGAATGCAGGGTCCGGGGAGAGCGGATGTAGTGAATGCAGGGTCCTCCGTCCAGGGGGGGAGACCGGATGTAATATAAATGCAGGGTCCGGGGAGACCGGATATATGTGAATGCAGGGTTCGGGGAGACTGGATGTAGTGAATGCAGGGTCCGCCGGGGAGAGCGGATATAGTGAATGCAGGGTCCTCCGGGGAGAGCGGATGTAGTGTAGTGAATGCAGGGTCCGCGGGGAGCGGATGTAGTGAATGCGGGGGTCCGGAGAGACTGGATGTAGTGATTACAGGGTTTAGTAACATTTTAAGCTTAGATAAGATATTTAGTGATTGGGTTTACGTTTTGTTTAATATGCAGTGTACGGTGTGCAATCTTGTAGTGTGTATGAGATAAACACACAACATCCAACCTCTAAATTCTATCCTCACACTACTTGAGGAATGCGGAATGGCTGGATTTTTTTTTTTTTTTGTTGAGAGGCCGCACAATGTTTGAAATGTGGGTCCTCTGCTAAAATACAATAACTGTCTGTTTTTCAGACATTCTGCTCTCTAGCTGGCAGTATCTCCATTCTCCTCATTCATATTTTCTAAAACTTGTTTCCTAAATTGACAGCAGCATGTCTTGCCTCCGGCTATCACAAAGGATGGTTATCCATGCCATAATGAAAGCTCAGCAGTTGTCGGTGGTGACCATTTTGTCAGCCGAGCCCATATTCCTTGAATTTCAGCTCGTATATTAATTTTGAGCCGCCCTGACAGTGTCCTGGTGACAGTGGACTTAAACTAATAGGTGAAGCATTATCTGCTGTCAGTCATGTTTGCAAAAAAATTTCTGCTGGATAAAGCTGGACAAATCCCAAAAGCCAAGTAACCAGTGTGCCTTGCGTCCTCCGGTTCCTAAAAGTCATCTGTTGCTACCTAGATTTGAAGGCCTAGTGCAGGGTTTCTCAACCTGGGTTCCGTGGAATCCTAGGGTTCCTCTAGGGCAGTGGTGGGCAACCTTTTTTTTCAACTGAGCCAAATCTCGCCAAAACCACGATTGAAATTTATTTTGAGAGCCACATTTTTAAAACTGAAAATACATCCCCCCCATATAGTAATTCATCCCCCCTATAGTAATTCATCCCCCCTATATCATCCCCCCTATAGTAATTCATCCCCCCTATAGTAATTCATCCCCCCTATAGTAATTCATTATAGTAATTCATCCCCCTATAGTAATTCATTCATCCCCCTATAGTAATTAATTCCCCATATTGTGTCAATTCATTTACCTTTGCTCCGCGCGTTCCTCTCACCGTGTTCCTTCGCCGTTCCGGTCTTCAGGGCGGACTGTGAGAGGAGAGGAGTTTGTCACGCTGCCCCGCCTACATCCTGACAGCCAATGTTTGCCACGCTCTGCGGGCTGGATTAAAAGGTCCGCCGGGCCGTAGTTTGCCCATTGCTGGGCTAGCTGCAGAGTCCTGACTTTTGGGGCGGCCGTCCGAGAGGAGGGAGGGGAGCGGGCTCCCGGCACACAGAAGAGCCGCATTAATGTGTGTAAAGAGCCGCATGTGGCTCACGAGCCGCGGCTTGCCGACCACTGCTCTAGGGCAGTGGTTCTCAACCTTCCTAATGCCGTGACCCTTTAATACAGTTCCTCATGTTGTGGTGACCCCCAACCATAAACTTATTGACCCAATAATTATAATTCATGAAGTGTCGTTTTACCTCCAATACTGCTGCTTTCAACACAGTAGCTGCTTTCAACACAGTAGCTGCTTTCAACACAGTAGCTGCTCTTTACACATCGGAAATATGTGTTTTCTGATGGTCTTAGGCGACCCCTGTGCAAGGGTTGTTCGACCCCCAAAGGGGTCGCGACCCACAGGTTGAGAACCACTGCTCTAGGGGTTCCTTGAGCAATGAGCAATTTCTGCCACTCAGATGAGTTCCCACTGACACTTTTATTCTTTTTAGCTATCTGTAAGGGGGTAATTCTTCCCATTGACCACAAGTGTAAGGAGCATTCTTACCTCTATCACTCTAATGTAATTGTACAATGAAAACCTGTGGATTTGTGTAGGCAGGCTTGATCCCTCTGCTGGCTTGTACACAGTTTTTGGACAATTTGGGTTAATTTATAGGGATTTTGCCAAGTCACCTTGGTATAAAAAGACTTGTCCTGAAGAGCAAATAACACACTTCCTATCCATGGGTGGCCACATGCTCTCCTCCACTTTATCTATGAAGGAAGCCATGGTTGCCACCTAGGATGGACTTCAATCATGTCTACATCTGTTCATCTCCATTACATGGAGGATGATGGAATCCATAGAGGAAAGGTGATTTTATTAATCTTGTAGGAAGAGACAAGGGCATGGCATTTGTGGCAAGACCGACAGGCATTTTCTGAAATTGCTGAAAATGTTCTTAGCCTGGAAAAAGAAAACAAATGCAGCCACATTCCCCATGTACCAGCCAAATTTTGACTAATGTATAGCAAGCTTTAGGCCTTATGTACACATGAACTCCCTGAGATGTTTAGCTCTTCTGGCAGCAGAAGACCGCTTTGCGTGGAAAAAACACGTATGAACGCTGTAACGGGTTTAGCGTTTGGACGTGTATTTGATTGGCCAGAGTATTTCCGTTGACATGCGTTTTTGCCACGTTTAACATTTTTTGGCCAAAATGTTCATCTACTAAATGCGATTTTTCTGCTTTCAGTCGAGGAACATTTAACCGCTTTTAAACTCTTCTGCTTCTAAACTCAAAAAGTGTTTTCGCTTTCTGTGCATTAAGGTAAAAAACCTTCTGGGTGCAGCCCCCCTTATACTTACCTGAGCCCCATCTCGATGCAGCAATGTGCATGAGAGCAGCGGCTCTCCCAGGTGTCTCTCTTCATTGGTTCACACAGCAGCAGGAGCCAATGGCTGTCAGTTACAGCCAATGAGGAGAGAGCAAGGGCGGGGTCAAGTCATGCTCTGTTTGTGAACGGACAATATCCATTGGGGGCACTCGGCAGGGAAGAGGAGCCATGACTGTGCTGAGCAAACTGTTGGTGCAATATAAATCCTGTATAATAATAATGACGACGGTCAGTGGGGTGACCCAAAAAAAAAAAAGAGGATCGGGCCTGCTCTGTGCAAAACCATTATACAGAGCAGGTAAGTATAGCATGTTTGTTATTTAAAATAAATAAATAAAAAAAAGTTCACAAATCACTTTAAGCCTTACGCTAGGTTCACACTTATGCGGGTTGCATTTTGCGTTTTTTGATGCATTTTGCTTATTTTTTTGTTTTTTGTTGTTTTACATTTTTTTTTAATTTTTCTTGTTCCTAGGCAGATTTTAAATGTAAAAAGCAGTGAAAGAGCAATACATGCTTTTCTGCAACATTCCCATTGAAGTCTATAGAACCAAAACCGCAGCATTTTGCGTTCACGAAAGTCCCTGACCCTTTCCAAAAGCACCGGGTGAAAACGTGAAGATGTGAGCGTGTCCCATAGGAAATCATGTTAAATGGACTGTACAAAACTGGAGAATGGACTATACAAAACGCTTAGGTGTGAAACTAGGGATAGGCTACTTTCACACTGAGGAGTTTTTGAAGCGTTTTAAAAAAAAAAAACAAAACAAAAAAAACAAAAGCGTCTGAAAAGCTCAAGAAAGCTTCTCTATATGTATGCAAATGTATATCTGTGTATGTTTTCACACTGAGGCGTTGCGTGTGTGGTGTAAAAACTCCTGCTTGCAGCATTTTTGGGGCATGTTTGGTAAGTAAAAAAAAATAAAAAATCGCCCCAAAAACACCTCTTTCCCATTGAAATAAGGCCTGAAAAACGCCTAAAAAACGCCTCTGGGAAGCATTTTTTGGTGCAGTTTTTAAGTCACATGTCCTTTTTAAAAACGCTCAAAAAGCGTGGGAAAAATGCCTGTGTTTTTGCAGCAGATCAGTTAGAAAGTAGCCTTATGCAGGCCATAAACAGGTCGAAAACCGGCTGTTTTTTAAAAAAAAAAAAAAAAAAAAAAAAAAAAAAAAAATCAGTTATTCAATAGGCCGACGTTGCCACCAATGGTAAAAAAAAATCGGCCAATTTTCGTCCCGTCTACGTCCGGCATTTAATTACTTCTGTCCCTGCAGAGAGCTCCGCTATTATATTTGAAATGAAAAAGTATTGCAGTTGCAACAATGTATCTATTTGTATCCATTTTGGATGCAGATGGTTTTATTCGAATACAAATAGATACATTGTTGCAACCGCAAGACTTTTTCATGTCAAATATAATAGCGGACTGGAATTCTTTTTCTACTTTTTTTTTCTTTTTTTTTTTTCTTTTCTTATTTTTCTTCTTCTTCTTGCAGGCCACGGCTCATGTGCAGATTTTTTTATCGGTAAAAAGATCGGCCGATTTGTCCATCATTGCCAGGAAAATCGTCCGTTTTTTTTTTTTTCCCAAGTTCACCGATGAAAAAAATGTGGCAAAACCCCGAAAAACGGCCGACCAATTAACTCATTAACGGTGCAAAAATCGGCCGATTTTCAATCCGTCTATGGCCTGCATTACAGTGCAGGTTAGGCCCCACAGCCTTCAGGCTTTAAATAATGATTGCTGTACGTTTACATGAGCTTCAGATGTGTAATGAGATTGGCTTTGCATTTTCCCTTTTAAGGCTGCCCCCCCCCCCCCCCCCCCCCCCCCCCCCCCCAGCCACCAGGTGTTTACAATTAATAGGATCAAACAAATTAATTGTTTTGTCTTTCTATCATGCCCAGAGAACACAGTGCAGATGCAGTGCATGTCATCTGATAAAACTAGATTTTTTTCTTTTTCTTTTTTTTACTCTTGACTAATATAGAAGCTAGTTGTCCTGCGGTTGGGTTTCCATGACACTTGCCCACTTGTATGCAGTCTCTGCTGAAGATGAAAGCTTAGCTCCGTCTTTTGATAGCTTACAACTAATTGGGCTGCCTGGCACAGCAAGGTTTTTTTTTTTTTTTTTTTTTTTTTTTTTTTTTTTTTTTTTTTTGTTACACGTGAAAAATGGACAAAATCCTCCGCGCTCTGTGTATTGTACGATCATAGATAAAACATGCCAAGGACAGAAGGGGAATTTAAAACCATCTAACGAAGGCGTATTTACCTTGTAACGTGATATCCGAGAGGTATTTCTGCGCAAAGCGCCGGAGACACATAAGTTCAAGGTTTTTCATCCCAAGATTTTTGCAAAACATTTTTTTTTTTCTTCCCCTCCAAGATCCTAATATGTGTGGATTTAATCGGCCCGTATTCTTCTTATCACTGTGAAGGGAAATATTTCAGCTAATGTTTACTTCTTGAAGAGTGTACATATCTTTGGAGCTTGGCAAACAAAGATCAAACGTTTGCAGATTGCCTGTGACC